CAGGAGGACCAGGGCCTGCAAACATGAGGCTATTTCTAGCTGTCTGTAGAAGGCCTTATCAGCTCCTTCCTTCCTCCTGATCAGGCAGCCTATAGCAGATGCCCACTGTCAGGTTTTGGGTTTGTTTTGTTTTGTTGTTTGGGTTTTTTTTCAGACAGCTAGCTTGCTGGTGCCCTTCAGGAAAATCTGCAGTCCCCCAGTGGTCCAGAGACTACAGGCTGAAAACACTGTCTAAATCAATACCAAACTGCCACCCTGGACAGGCCTGCAAAACTTTTCCAGCACATGAGAGGCAGCTACATACAGATACTACTTACACATAGAGTGCCACTGAATGCATACAGCTGGCTACCATGGCAAAAGCTATGGCTAGCTGATGGGCTCTGCTGGTTTCAGACTCACCACTTCAAAGATTTTAAAAGTTAACTAAAATTATCATTTTATGATAATTGCCTGTTAGTAAAGCAGGGAATAACAGCCTTTACTACACCTGAGGAAAAGATACAATGCTGCTTCAGACCCATAGTGTCCAAAATGTAAATAGAGTTTGGGCACTTCCACCTTCTCTAAGGGCACTCCTTGTCTTGATGTCTTGTTTTGATTTACAAAAAATTCTCTGCAGTAGACTACAAGCAGGCACGCAGATGCAAGTGAAATTCAAACACGAAGACCGCTGCATGTTCTTTTAAAAAAGGTTCAAACTTGGTTCTATTTTCTGTAGGAATTTTCTCACTGTGAATGTCTGTAAACTATATGGCTCCCTCTTGTGCCTATTATACCACATTTCAGTGTAGGAAAAAAAATTTAACATCAAGCCATAAATATTTGGGCTCTGTTCACCCTTCAGTAGGCATGCAATGCCCATAAATGTTAATGGGAGTCACACGCATACCTTCCAGGGGAAGAGAAAACCCTGCAGTTTACAAAATTTCTCTTTGGAACAAACTACAAAAACATCTTGCAAACTACGAGTCTGCTGCAATAAAAGTCCTCTTTTGACCATTCGCTGTATTTTGATAGCAATGCAGAGGCCAAATATGCCTTTAAAGTACATCTGTAAGAACTTTTAACTATTTTTTAGTTATCAAATTACATATGTTTAAAAAGGTGTCAGTGTGGTTTATAGAGCCTGGCTAACATGCTCAAGGGTTTATTTTTGTCTACTCAACATCCCACCTGTTTCTGCTTATCAAACCAGACTACAGCTTAGCTTGCAACAGCTGTGAAATTCATAAATCTGCCCATTCTTCATGTGTAGCCAGACTAAGCACTTGGAGAAAGAGTTAGGACTGCAGCCTTCCGAGAAAGCCACCCTGATGGAGAAGAGCTAGGGAAATAAAACAGACCAGCACTTGTCAAACAATGTTTAAAACCACACACCTATCAGAAGCCAAATTATCTTAATAACAGTCTAGCAATCCTATTTGGAAAGAAAATGAAGCTTTTGAAGAAATGATTTGGTAACCCTTTTATTCCCCCAGCCATTAGAAACATTTTGCAGACTAAAAATGCTGCAAAGGAGTTAAAATATTTTGCCTGCAAAAATATTCCCTTTTTCAGTGCCTTCAAATATCAACAGAACGCCTTTTATTTCAAGATGCTACTAGTTTTACTTTCTGCAGTAGAATAGCTATCAAGAAAGTAAGTATAGTTATAAGATTTTTGTATTACAAGAAGTGTATTTGTGTATTTTAAAAAAATATTAGTCTGCATACCTGAAGCAGTATCAAAATTCCAGTCACACAGGACAGCTTTCATTAAAACGCTTATGCTAAAGCAGTAGTAGCACTGAATGAAATTACGGTATACAAAATTCTAACATTCACTTTCATAAAGCTTGCAGAGTACACTGCCTTTAATAGGAAAGTGGATTTGCTTTGCTTTTTTTCATTTATATGATGAATTTTTCTCTCCCCACCTCTTCTTCCCTTTTCCATATGCTCACGAATTACCCTTAGCACTAGTATTTTGTGGGTCAACTTTGTTCATAAAATGATATGAGTGCATGCAAGATGATATCAAAATTAATTTCAGCTTTTCTGAATAATGAAAAATGGTACTTTGTTTTAGGTAAGAAAAGGGCTTTTTTTTTTCCCTATGAACTTTTTTTCTCCACCATTTCATAAATTACAAGCTCTTATTTTTGAGAGCAGAAACAGAAATCAAAAAGTTTTAAAACTTTTCGAAAGTTTTAAGTTTTCATCAAAAGCATTAATAAAATAGGTACGCAGTACATTCACTTGGCACTCCTGCAGCCAGCTGAAATTATGTCTCTTCCTAATGTGACATTTACTGAATACTAGTAAAGAAACTTTCAGCTCAAATTGTGGTTATGCGGCAGCACTTAAGCATGGCACCAAACCACCAGAACACAGCTAAAATTTACCTAATATTTATTACCAGTCATTCTCCAAAGAACAAGTAAATAAAGCAAATGATTCCTACCCGATCTACCTTCATGCCCACATTCAACATGAAACAACAGCTATATTATACAAGAACGTAAAACAAGCAATAAAAGCATTTGTCAGGAGTATAAAAAAAAAAATCTTGTCTGGATTTCTGACCACAAGTGACCAGAACCTACGTTTTAACAGTTCATACAAAAGCCAACAGTACAGTACTAAACACTTTTTTGGGTATACTAATATAAAGCTCAAAGAGAAGACAGCCATTTATTTAAACACTATTTCCACAAAGGTTTCCCATTGCTGCAGATCAAACCAAACTGAATCAGTCTCAACAATATCAGACTGAGAAGTCATCCTCCATGAGCTGCCACATCAGCTTCCATAGAATTGCAAATGTAAAACAGAAAATAAAGCAGCGCAGGGTATTAAAGGCTTGTTACCAGGCACAGCACATCACCATCACTGGGGTTCTAAAGACAGTCTGCCCCTAAAGTCATCTCACGTCCATTATTTTCTTTGCTCAAATTGTAGCTTTTCTGATTTTTAACGGTCAACAGCATGGACTTCGATGCGGAATTATTTTTTAGTGAGACGTTACTTTGCCCACATTAGCTTAAATGCTATACAAATGATCTTTGATTAGCTTTACGAGACAATAAGAGAAATCGTGTCTATTTGCCATCCTTAAGCAGATTATGTGCCACATGAAACTTTCATAAACAAAAAATGTTTCGTCAAAGAGTTAAGCTGCTTTTCACACATTAGATACGTCATGCTTCAACTGATGTTACAACACTGGATTTTATATACATTCTTCAGTTGTGCTTGCATCACTTTGATATCAGTCTACATCTATTCATCAATCACTGAGAAGCGGTTCTGAAATACTGCACACATGGCAGTCAAAATCCGGGGTTTCATTCCAGATCTCATTTCTCTGTAAAACTGTATTTCAGTTTGGTTGTGACCACATAACCTCTCACATAATACTACTAGTGCAGGACTGGTCAATGAAAATAACAGAACTACTCATAGTGAGAGTTAGCTATCTGATTAAGTACTGCAAGAGCATGAATAGCAGCTGGAAGAATTGGATAATGTTACACAATATTCTGCTAATAACTCTTTACAACTATTTAGGGGTAAAAAGATATCCTAAAGAAATAAAATATAAGATTTCTGTTTGTTCAGGCAGCATACTTTGAGAAAAAAAGTGAAAAGCTGGAAGGTCAAGTGTGGACTGGCAGCCTACAATAGCACATGGCAAGAAAAGACAGTTGGCTAAACTGTCGTTTCCTGAATTGTGACACCTGGAAGGAAGAATTTTATTCCTTCCTGATATTAAAGCCACTGTTCTTACTCTACTCCTTGCCTCAAAATGAAGTGCATCTTATTTGGTTTTCACCCACTATTTTCAATGACTTTAGTTTTCAAAATGTGTCCCTCTGCTCCTTATACTTGCTAAACTGACACTGTGTTTGGTGTTTGAAGAACTTTGTTTCAAACAGCTACGCAAAATAATTTAACTTTTGTCGACTTAAAACAGTTAATAGAAAAGCTTTGGAACTCTGATAACGTTAAAGGAGAATAGAATTGCTTTATGTCTTCTGGCCTCTCCTATGGCCAAAAAAAATGTCTCTAGATCACACAATTGTGGAAATTCAGTACATAGTCATATGGTTTTTTGCACAGATTGTGCTATAAAAAGCTTTGGATGTTTGAACATTGAGCACTACCTTGACAACAACACATCACCATTCACTTACAACATCAATTATGTCTAGACATCAGTCAGAGTAACAGTTCTATCTTAGAAACTCAATTTAAATCATTACTTCAGAACACGATGAAAAGTTCACCCATCTCAACCCTCCCCATACTCAAATTATTACCAGATGGGTTTATCTTTGTATGTGAAAGCAATCAAAATAATTATGTTAAATAAATAGAAAACAACAGTTAATCCATGGTCATTGGAAATACAACATATGCAATGGTTTCATTCTATGTCAATTAACAATTATAGTTTTACTTTGCTTATTGCAAACTATACATTTTTCAGGGAGTCAGAGAGGCATAGGTTGTAGATCTCTGCAGGTCACCTAGCCCAACTTCCCACAGGCAAACTTCTGGAGTCTGGGTACCAGTAGCAAGTTGAAAGCAATAATTGGATCATCCCTTATCGCCTTTTCCCCAGAATAAACAAATCCAGGTCCCTCAGTCTCTCCTTGTACGGATAAAGGGCTGAAGCAAATGACATCTTAGTAGTCCTCCTCTGATCTCATTCCAGTTTGTCAATGTCTCTTGTACTGGTGGGCCCAAAACTGTGTAGTACTCCAGATGAAGCCTCACCCAGTACCAAACAAAGGGCAGTAATCACTCCTCTGAACCAACTAAATACATTCTTATATATTCATAAACCTACTGAACTGCGAAATTTTAACAGCAGTTCAAAAAACAGCAGGAAATTGCTTTAATGATTCAAACCTTTAAGAGCAATACCCTTGCTCTCTTATTTAGCATCACTGTTTTCACACCTTCCTCAATAATCATCATGAGAACAACATACACTACATTTAAGATGCTTACCTGAATAACTTTGTAGAAATAGGCATACTGTCGAGCTGTATTTTTATATTGGCTAAAAACATCATGTATGGCCTGAGTTGACTGAAGATACTGCACTTCATCTTCTTCAAAATAGAGAGGAGTGTCATATTCACTGGGGAGTGTCTGGATGTAGGGCAGCCAGAAAGAGCTGGGGTTGGCTCGCTCACAAAGAAGATGGAATGCCAGTGTTATATTGCCCATGGCTTGAAGAATTCGATCTTGAGAATACAGGGATCCTGAATTAACCCAGAAAGATGAGGCACTAAATCAATTGTCCATAGAAAATATCATCCTAGATTTACTTTAAATGAATATGATGAGATAGCATGTAAGAATTTTCAACCAAAAAAAAAAAAAAAAAAAAAGTTTTTCAGGTTTTAAAAAAACTTACCTGCCCCAATTTATTTGTCCCAAGATGGAATGCCAGTGTTATATTGCCCATGGCTTGAAGAATTCGATCTTGAGAATACAGGGATCCTGAATTAACCCAGAAAGATGAGGCACTAAATCAATTGTCCATAGAAAATATCATCCTAGATTTACTTTAAATGAATATGATGAGATAGCATGTAAAAAAAAAATTTTAAAAAAAAAAAAAAAAAAAAAAAAGCTTTTCAGGCTTCTAAAATACTTAGCTGCTCACATTGTATTATGCTGCAAATTATTTGACCCAGTAAATGCCTCATGTACAATTGCACGATGGAAGACATGAAGAAACTATAACAATACTCTCAGTACCTCAGAACATTTTATCTCCAAGTGTTAAACAAGCTACATGATATGCATTCGAAATAACACACACAGTTCTGGAAGATATCTAGTGCGCTCAGCCAGAAACAAAGAGGAAAATTAAATTCTTGCCATTGACACTTCAGGCTTTTAGGTATTCCAAACCTGATGGTTGGCATGATAAGGAAGTCCTGTAATAAAGGAGATCAGCTAAAAAAAAAAAAAAAAAAAAAAAAAAAGTCCCCTACTGAATGATCCCAAACATTTCAACTTCTTGCTTAAGAACTTCCTTAAGCTCTTACCTAATACTGAATTTTTAGCTGACTCAACTGTCATCAACAATTTTCTAGGAACCCACAGAAACAACTCTTCAGCCTACAGAAAGGAAAAAATGCATAGAGGGTCAGTTAGCATTTATATGATATGCCAAGTGTCTCAAACATACATTGTCTTTAAATTACAGGTTGTTTTCATTAAAAAAAAAAAAAAAATCAAAATTATTCTGAAGCAAAATTCTTCCTTTTCTTCCACTGCAAATTAAACAAACATGCTATGTTTCATATTGTGGTAACCAAATGTTCCAATCTGCATTATACAAAGCTTAAAACAAAGACATTTAGTTTACAAAATAAAGTGCTTCAGTTTGGAACTGCTAACATGTAGATCGCCCACACAACCTCAAAGCTACCAGATACATTATATTGCTATTAATTACATGATCCAATATTTTCTCCCAGCAGACGTCTTTTCACATTGCCCATTCTTATTTTAGAAGAACTGTCCAGGATTTTTATCAAGCAGTAGTGCTAGCCTTATTAACTATGTGCTGCTAAAGCTCTAAAATGAATAATATGCTCATTTTCTTATATTCTTTCTACAACAGCTGATTGTTCTCCAAAGCTGTTTCCCATCTGTAAAATGGGAACGGAAAGAGGCAATCTTAAATGCTTACTTTTTAACAGTTAGCTAACTGTGTGTGTCTATACTCCTTACCTGATGATCAAAAGATATTCTTTACAATTATCAGGTAATTTTGTTTTTTTCATTTTCACTGGAAATTAAGTATTGCAAGCACCTTTTTCTGAGGCAAAAAAACCCAGTGCTTTAAAAGAAGGGACATGAAAGAAGAGGAGAAGAGACTAAGTAGTTAGAAAACATGGAAGGGAGGGATGCATCAATGGGGTAGAGTACTCTGGTGATTAGGTAAAGAGTATAGGCAACAAAGAAAAAAAAAAAAAAGACTGATAGTACTCACAGTACTATCCAACAGTCATCTAAAATAATACTCAATTTTATCAATAATTTTATTTCTCAAGTACTCTGAGTTGAGAGCATTTCAGAACAGCAGTTTCATAAGCAGTCAAAAGGGGAATGGGAAGGTGGCGAGTGTTTCAGAGCTCTGCAGCTACATTCCAAACACGATTTTCTAATCTAAGTCAAATTTTCACAGGCTCACCTTTATCTCTCTTGTTGCTTTCAATCCAAACCCCTCCTCTTCAAAGTTAGCTATTTCAAAACCCTCTGTGGATGCTCCATTTTCAGTTGCCCACTTTATCAATTCAGGGAAATAGTCATCTCTTTTTCCATCAAAGACAACAGACAAACCTATATACACAATTTGTTAAAAAACAAATGCAGAAATAAGAAGATCTAGAAAGATAAAGAAGTTCAATATAAAAGCACATGTAGAAAGCTATCTGCTATCCCACAGCAGTTCTGCTTTGAAGTAGCTGAGTCAGAACTGGTCTTTGTTAAGTGTTACTCAATAGTATACAAATGCCATACCCAATTTTCATCATCTTAAATATTGTGCCAAATTGGCTTACCAGTCATCTTAAAAAACACAACCACCTAAACTGAGCTGTGATGAAATATGAAGCTCCCCTCCTCTAAAAAAATAAGCTGAGCGAAAATATTTCCCAGCTTAATATTGATGATAAATGCAATCACCACAACATGTTAAATACGACACAAGGAGGAATTTGAGAGGCAAGCTGCAATTTCATTAATTCAGCACTGGAAATGATAAGCAGATTTGAAGCTCCTTCTCTCACATACAAGGCAGTTAGCTTTTTCCTGTAGCATACAGATCTACTAAAATAAGGACTGATCATCCTCCTGACATCACAGAGCTTGTCCAATTTTTACACTTGGCTTCTCCAACAGGCATGTGGTCCACCAGTGAAATTGCAACTCTCATTCATTTCCTCAGCTTTCCCCTTCTTCTGATTTGAACCTGTGCATTATGATTCCCAGCTATATTCTGCCAGCTTTTTCTGTACCTCTTCGCCTCTATGTTCTCTTCAACCCAAATTCTAGTGTCAGATCACATTAAGTGTCCAAATGCCCCTGAAATGCTAAGGCCATTTTATGAGTGACAAAATGTCATCAGCAAGTTGCTTACATCCAAAGATGTTTTGGTTAAGCACAGGTGGTAACTATATCTTTAGATTAAAAGGATTTTAAGAGAGTAGCATTAGTGTATTTGAAATCTTCCCCCCCACCTCCAAATCACCCATTTCAAGCCCCAGAACCAATCAAATTTGCAGTTAACATAAAACTGCAAGTATCATCTAAAACTTAGTCTTTGATGATGCAGTATAAAAACTCAATATTGATCAAGTGGGTTTTTTTGAATGAAATAAGAATGTGGTGCATAGTGGTTTGGCTTTTTTTTTAAAAAAAAAAAAAAAAAAGCCTGGCATTTCTCCTGTATTTCATACTCCCTTCAGTATGCTATTTTCTGTGGAATATATTTAGAGCTAGGCTTCACAAATCTAGTAAGTCTAGTTACATAGCTTCTACAGAACTTGATAGGTGTTTATACTGTCCAGGACTTTGCTCTTTTGATTTCCAACACTGAGTACTGTACAAGGCTATTGGAAGCTTTTAATATCCAGCTTGTATTTGGAACCATTCTGTAAGCATCTCTGAAATTCTACCTCTGTTCCTCATATATGATGCGGTCCAATACGTCCCACATTTTTCCAAATTAAAGAGAAGAGCAGCTCCTTTAAATTACAAGCACTATCGGGGAACAATTTATTTCCATACTGAACAAAATATAGCTATACTGATGAAAACCTATATTGAAAAATTAGTTTTATTTAAAATTTTGCTAATGAGTCAAACAAGGAAAAATTTTAGAAAGTAAAAATACTCAGTTTTCAAATTAAGAGTTTTCTATAATCAAGATCATTTTAGCTCACATTCTGCAACCCACTGTTCTATTCAAGAAAACCACGAAGTATGACACTTTAGGCAATATATATTCATTTGTACATCTCAGTGTTCCCAAAAGCAATTTATACTTCCTTTTCTAATTGTTTAGATTTTATTAAGCTAGAAAACTGTGTAGTATAAATTACTATGGTCCATTAAAAAATAGTTTTGAAAGACACCATACTATTCATACTCACTATGTATGTAAAAATGTTACATTAAAAACCATTTGTATGTCAACAGTGCTGTGGTTAGTAGGTTTTGCATCTTTCAAGGAAAAAAAGATGTCCTAGTAACATAATACTGTTATACTAATTCTACCACTTCTGCCAGCAGCCATTTTCCCCATGAATGTTTCGATCTTTCTGGCACAGACGAAAGATATAGTGATCAGCCCAACCTAAGTGCTAACTATGTTAACCTGAATTATGTTTTACCATAACACATGTATTACCTCATAAAAACCAGGACATGTACCATATGTTTATAGAAGTCACAGGACAGCAAAACAATTAATCAAGTTCACCTCTACAGAGCTACAGGATGCAGTCACTCAAACAGTATCATTTATTCTTCTATATGCCCTCCACCAATAACTGACATTCAGAGGTTTAAAAGTCTTTTCATAAAGTAGGATTCTTATGCGCTAAAAACAGGTGTGAAAAGGACATTTCAAGCCTCTAAGTACAGTCTTCTACTTTTTCAAGCAAGTACACGAATCACTCGAGCTCCATTTTAAATGCAGTCTGGCTTTTTTGCCATTACCGTATAAATATCAGAGAAGAAAGAATTGTTATTTCTCTGCCATTAAAATACAACAGTCAAAAACCAGTTAATTTTACTAAACTTACACGAAAAACATTCTTTAGAGCATACCTCCAAATAAAAACAAAGCTAATATGAAAATAAAGTATCAACAACAGTGAATTGTTGCAGAACATACTGGAAGAAAACTGTTCTAATCTGAAAAATAAGCATATCTTACACTTAGGAAAATTGGCAATAAAACTCCATATTAACTGTGGTACCATAAGCATATCTTTATTTTAATTATGTGCTTGATTTACAGCAGTCAGATTTATTAGCTGATGTATTTATTTTGTGCATTTATATATTTTTATGTTGTCATAATTTAATGTCATGAAGTTGAATTGCTGCAACTGTTTCCATGTCCAGTAAAGTGTTCAGGTTAAAATAAAATAGTTATAAAATTAAATTCAAAATGTTCAGATTTATAGAGGCAGAGGGCAGACTATGCAATCAGGAATCCAAAAGGTCTATTATTCTCAAAGGATTTTTACTTCTAGTCCTTCAGATTGTCATCTCATCACGATCTCAAGCTCTTTTTTCTACTTATTGAACAGAATTATCACAGGATCACCTGTCTGTGATATTCATTCAGAATTACAAGTATTAAAATGGTTAATGCTAGTGGTCATGCCCACCAGAATATTTCAGAAAGCAACCGCATGTCAGAGAATTAAGATTTTTATCCCAAAATAATAGGATTGCATAATATTTATATAACAACAAAAAATATTCCTTTTAGCTGTCAACAGACAATTCTTTAGGCAAATCAATACTCTGAGCCACCCTCATCTTACAGTCTTTCACATTTACCTTTTTGCTTTTTGCGAATTTTCTCAACAAGTGAACGAATCTGTACATATTCTTCCCATTCCTTACCAGGACCCGGGGTAGGACTGCTGCATTCTGGAAATAAAAATGCCAAGTGAAAATGTTTTCTTTAATAAAGTGTGTGTGTGTGTGTATATATATATATATTTTAACATCAGAGAAAAGGTCATGGTTTCACATCAACTTTAACTGAACCTTAGTACTATTTATCCTTCAAACATGTTTACATGGGAAACACTATAATCTCCATTGTTATAAATATCTGATTCTTTGAAATGTAATTAGTAGAAACTTTTAAAATTTTCACAGTATAACTTGCCTGAAGTTATTTTATTTTCTCTTTTTTACTATTCTTTCAGATTTAAGAAATATCAAATGTTTAAAAAGCTAGGAAGAAAAAAGGTAAACAACCAGACCATTAAGTAGGTAGTCTCTCAGATAAGACAAAAAAAAAGTCTCTGTTTTCAATAATCCAAGCAAAACACTCTGTTTACATTAGCCTGCTTGCCATCATTCTTGCTGTAATGAAAGCAGATGATAATAGCACAGAGCTTACCTTAAGTAATCAAGAAATTTGCTGGTACATACATTTGACCTGCCTAGTCAATACTGTTTTCATAGATGCACGTGTACTGGAAGGACAAGCAAAGGAACACTTAGCCAAGCTTTAGCTTTAGATTATATCCACAGTGTCTCTGACAATATTCTAAATGCCAGTGTGTGGATTTCTTGATCTACGCCGCATAAATCCAAGTGGACAGCTGAAGATTACCTTGCTCAACTGATCTGAAAAATCTTTGCGTTGAATAAAATATGGAAGCTTGACAAAAAGAACAGCTGATACTTGTCTTTGCTTAGAAAATTAGATCTACGTTTTATTTTTGGTAGCAAAGCAAAGGCCAATTGTAGCATAAGCATCAAAATGCTCTGCCAACTCCTTGTCTCCTCTTTGTGAGCAATGTTAAAGAAAAATTCTAATTTTTCTAAGGCAACATTTAGATGTGTCTAGGATATGAAAATTTGGACTCGTGTTTCAACAAGAAGTGGAGCTCAGCACAGTTACTCATGACAGAAGAAAGAGCGAATAGTATTTTAGCATCATCGTATGAAATCATGCTCTGCTTTTCATATTTACCAGAAATAATGAATGAGTTCCAAGTTCCTCAACAAGTGGAACAACCTTTGGTCTATACACAGGAACTAAGCATTACAAAAAGTTTCCAATCAACAACTACAAAAAATTTTTTATTTAAGCAACAAAAATATCAGTGCAGTGGAAGTGAGGTGTATTGCTGCTTTCCACAGTTAATTTCTCTACTCTGATATCAGTTCAAAATACTGTTCAAATCATAAACAGAAACAGTGCAATTCTTGAGGTTGACAAGAGAAACATTTTTGACAAAGCTTCAATGTCAAGTTATCTAAATTAGGTTGTTTTTTTTTTTTTTAAATCTAATCTCCCTCAGTATTTATGCTTGTGTTGAGATGTAAAGCCAAAGGCTGCCAGAAGTATGGTATGTCCAATACATACACATATAAATAACAATTCTTGAGGTTGACAAGAGAAACATTTTTGACAAAGCTTCAATGTCAAGTTATCTAAATTAGGTTGTTTTTTTTTTTTTTAAATCTAATCTCCCTCAGTATTTATGCTTGTGTTGAGATGTAAAGCCAAAGGCTGCCAGAAGTATGGTATGTCCAATACATACACATATAAATAAGCCAATAATGGTATATACTGACAGAGACAAATACTATAAGATACATACTATTCTACCTTAAGCAGGTTGAAATAGCAAGCTTGGCCACTTGCAGGAAATTAATAGAATTCACTGGCTTCAACAAGAGAAGGTTTTTGAGTGGTCTGCACACCATCCCTTTTCCCAGAGAGGCATAAAAACAAAACTTACTTTGCAATAACTCACTAATTAGATTCAACATTTCCTTTGGAGATACTGTCGCTGTGGCTCCTGTACCTGACTTCTGAGTTTTTACTCGGCTCTTCTTCCCCATCTTCCAACTAAAACAGATTAAGAAGCACACTGTCACCAATTACTAAGAAACAAAATACAATGATGATGAATGGACAAGATCTTCTCTTATTAGTCACTTAAAAAAAAAAAAAAAGAGGGTGAGTAGTTGTTTCTGGCACATATATATGTGCCAGTATTTATGTGGCCTGAATGTAAGACAACCATACAGTGCAATCTAAAACAATATCTCATGTAGTTGCACATTAATTACCTCAGGGTAATCAGAAACTAGAAATCTTAGAGACAAAGAAAAAACATTCAGATCAGTTGCAAATTCATTAGTTGTGAACAAATATTATGGATACCAAAGTATCCATGCTATATAAAACCAGGTTATTTTACCTCATCAGCTGCACTGCGGACATCAGCTGAATTAGTATTTGTGACTGCACTAAAGTAGTAATTAAAAATGAATAGAAAATTAGTATTCCATTCCAAAATAAAAATCAAAATACCGTATGTATATCTTTACAGCAGCTTCTTGTGGTTCAAGACAACTAGTTAAGGAAAATTTATTTTCAGTTGCCACAATAAACGGAACATCCTCCTAGGCTGGTTTTCCAATATTCAGAGCCCCTCATTCTCATGGAGTACTTAAATCACACAACATCTACTGGAAGGGCAGCATAGCTGAGCATGAAATATCCAGGGAATTTCTCACATGCACTAGGAGCAATTTTTGATGCTGGTGCTGAACAGGCTCCTAGAGGATGGGTTGTACAGATCTGGTACTCATGAACAAGGAAGAACTGCTCATGCATATGATGGCCAACAGCAGCCTTGGATGGACTAATTGTGAAATGGTAATGTAAGATCTTGAGGAAAGAAAGGAAGGAAAGAAGCAGACTAAAGACTCTGGACTCAGAACAGTAGAGTTGGGGCTTGCTCAGGCAATGGTAAGCAGAACGCCCTGGGAAGCTACAAGGGAGCCCACGACATCTTCCTGAACTCTCTTCTCGGAGCACAAAAAGAAGCCCTCCCAACGTACAAGAAAATCGGCAGGCACAGCAGGAGGCCAGCTGACTGTACATGGGACTCCTCACTGACTGAGTGCAAACAAAACAGAACATATGTAAAGTGGAAGCAGGGATAGGCAACGGGAGGAGAATATAGATGCACTGTCTGGGCAAGCAGAGACTGAGTTAGGGAGGTAAAGCTTGACTGGAGTTGATATTGAAGAGGGATGTGAAAGGCAAGAAAACACACTTCTACAGGTACACCATCAGCAAAAGACAGATCGGGGAAAGTGTAATTCAGCTGCTAAATAGGGAAGCAACCTAGTGGTGAAAGGTACAGAAAAAGCTGAGGTACCCAACAGCTTGGGCATGGTCTTTACCCGCAAGGTCTGCTATCAGGCTTCCCACGTTTCTGCATCTAGTAGCAAAGCTTGAGGGAGAGGAGCTACCAAGTTAAAGACTATTTAGGTAAGCTGGACCTACACAAGTACATAGGACCAGATGGGAAACATCCAAGATATTGAGAAAGTTAGCTTATGTCACTGCAAGGCTGCTGGCTATCACCTTTGAAAAGTCATGGTGATTGCCTATGACAGGAAACAGGAAACTTAAAAACAAACAAAACCCAACAGAAAAGCAAGTTGGGGGCAGGAGGGGATAGAGGATCCAGGGAACTAGACAGTAGTCAGTCTCACTTCATTTGCTGTAAAAAACATAGAGTGAGTCCTAAAGGGAAGCTGTTTCCAGGCACGATGGACATCAGTGTGACTGGGATCAGACAACAGACTTCCAAAGGCAAACCATATACAACCAACCTGACTGCCTTCTGAAGAAATAAGTGGCTCTCCACAGAGCCAGGGACAATCAGTGGTTGCCAGTTGCTTTGACTTAAGCAAGGTTTTTAACACTGTCTTCCACAGCATCCTGGCTGTCAAAGTGAGGAGACATGGACTGAATAGGTGGACAACAAGGGGGACAAAAAATTCCTTGGACCATGAGGTTCAAAGAGTTGTAGTCAATAATTCTAACTGCCAGCTGGTTAGACACAGTATTCCTCAGGGGTCAATACTGGTCAACATCTTCATCAGATTTGGATGCTAGGACAGAAAGCATCCTCAGCAAATTTACAGATGACATAAAACAGGGAAAGCAGTCAACATGGAGGGCAGGGCCACCGTTCAGAGGGACCTCAGCAAACTGGAGGAAGTGGCCAACAGGAACTTGATAAAGTTAAACAAAGACAAATATAAAGTGCCCTGCATTTGGGAAAGAAAAAACTCTATATAGCATTACAGCTGCAGGCTAGACAGGCCGCAGCTCTGCAGAAAAGGACTTGGAGATTCTAGTGGACAGCAAGTTGAACATAAACCAGCAACGCACCCTTAAAGCAATGAAAACTAACTGTAGTTTGAGCTGCAAAAGCAAGAGCATAAACAGCAGGCCAAGGGAATGACTTATTCCCTTCTGCTTGGCACTGGTGAGGCCACATAGTGAAAGGGCTGACACACGAGATGAAAGACACGATGAGGGAGTTGGGTTTGTTCAGTCTGGAGAAGAAAAGGAGCCCGCTACTGCGTTCACCTATGTAATGGGGAGTTATACAAAGGGTGGAGGCAGATTCTTAGGCAGGCACAGCAAAAGGTCAACAGGCAACAGTCACATGATGCTGCAAGGGAAACTCCAAACAGATGTAAGGAAACTCCTCACCATGAGGGTGGTTAGGCAGTGGAACAGGATGGAGATCTAACAGCATCTCCAAGCAACCTTGGAGAATTTGAAAGTTTGACTGGGCAAGGCCCTAAGCAACCTGATTTAACTTTGAAGTTAAAGCAGAAAATTGAGCCTCTCAATCTCCAGAGGTCCCTTCTCATCTACATTTTTCTATGATTCTACATGTTACTGCAACCGATGTTTTCACCTCTATATGGGTAGCCTACGTAGTCTATATGGTATATAATATCTTCCTATACAGTATAGAAGATTCTATGTCCAGTTACTTCGCAGTGAGAGGGGAGTCAGACACATTCAGGTAACTTTGGACATCTGAAAGATTTCAACTGCCTGAGTCATCAAGATCACCTCAGGCATAGCAGCTTTAAGTTATCACATTCTGCACAGTAAAATCCATAAAAATGCTAAAACCCACTGTACAGAAGTAGTACTTTGGATTCCAGGTGTTCTGAGCCCTCTGTATATATAAAAGGGATCCTTTTATCCTTGGTCAGTGTAGCTAGCTTACCCAAAAGGAAATGTTTCCTCTCATACTCTATCAAAAAGTTTTGTTCTTTGGCAGCTGGTATTAATACTGGAATGTACTGACCAGAAGCTGAAATGCTGCTTCTCCACACCAAGGCTGAAACAATTGCAACCCATATGTTAAGTAACTGTATAGGGCAGATCTTTTAAATATAAATGCTATATGTTAAAAAACTTCTAGTGGGAAAGGTACATAATCTGGCTGCTTTCATTTTCCATTAACATTACAGTGATCAAGAAGCTGCCAAGCCCAAGGCTTATTTTAAATACTAACTTTGATCAGGAAGCAAATTAAGGTTAAGTGTTAACTTGTTAACTTATTAACTCAAAATTAAAGGAGCTCAAAACTGACTGAGAAGACAACACCTCGTAACAAAAGGGAAAAAATCTAAGGCAAAACTATAAAGTGTTTTCAAAAAGGAAGGCAAACAAACCAAATTCTTTCATCTTCTGACATTAAACAGTGCAAGGAACAAGACTACCCCTGCATACATGGAGGCTGAAGTCCTGGGGCATCCCTCCCCTCCCCCCAATTTTAGCGCTCTCTAGCAACTATCAGAGGCTCAAACAACCCACCTGCACTGCTTACTTTTACCAGTCCCCCTTGAGCTGCATAACTTACTTTCCCAATACAGCTTCTGCCATGAAAAGCCCTTCCATGCAGGCTGGCAGGAAGAGATCCCACAGGTTCAATGTAATCAGACCGGCTGGCCATGCCCCTTGAAGTTTGTAAATTACCACTGGACATCCTCTGGAAAGACACTGCTCTGCCACAAGCAATTACATTTTATATGAGATTTGATAACATTTTTCAGCTCATATGAAGCAAGGAGTAATGCTCATTATGAGACCCATGTTTAATTTATAATAGTACAAATTGGAAATAGGATCAATATAAATGGCCAACCTGCCATAATATAGTGTAAGACAAGCCACAGAAGAACTAACAAAATACTAACAAAAAAAGAACTTAGAAAAGGTTATTTTCATGGTCTTCCCATTATAAACTTTTTCCTTTTTTTTTCCTAGTAATGCTCTCATACTTGTAAAAAGATAAACGGAGCTCTTGGTACAGGAGGGCACCTTCACAAAGACGTTATCTGCACATCACCTATTCACTTGAGTGTTCCACTCTCCCATATGCCATCCTGTTACATTTATTTTAGACCCTTCTGTTCTTAAGAGAAATCAAGTCAGACGGGTCTGTAATGGATCCAACAGCAGGTTCAGGGACAGAGTCCAAAATATTCAGGGCAAGAACAATGCAGTTCTGTGTTGATTCATGCAAATGGTTTTCTGCATTCCCTCTAAGCATAATCCCCTGCATCTTTAGAATCATCAGAAAATTAAAGCACTCACACAGTGTATTCCATGTTACAAGTTATAAATTATGATGACATATAGTTTATATCAATCAAGATGCTCATAAATATTAAGGTAAATAAGTTGAAAAACTGAAATTATTTTGAAGGATTTTGGTTTCTCATTTCTAAGAACAAAGTATGTTTATCAACCGATAAATTGAGGAAAAGCAGTCTAAATAAATGTTCTGTATACACAACCACCAAAATACTGTAGGCTTTTTTTTTTTTTCCTTTTTTAAGTTGTATTATTTATCTGCTTGGAATATAAACATCCATCAGTAGATTTGATTAGAAAAAACCCAAAGACAACTATGCACACATTATACATGGAGACATGAAAAGTGCCACCCTGCAATCAGAACAATGATACACCGGGACATTAAGCTGTATGAATATGGTACACAGTCAGCACTACATTTTAATTTTCCCCCGTATGAAACACATTAGCAGTGAGAATCTATTTTTGCAGTGAAAGCATTGCCAAGAGTTATGTCTAAAGATAAAGCTGATTTCAGAGTATGTGAACTTCAGCTTCCCAAATACGACAAAAAGAAAAATTTGAACGCTAAGTATTTGCATTACTATCATAGGTGAATATTGTTTGAGAGGCCAAAAAAATATTCTCTAGCTGAAATCTGCTCTACACAAGTAAGAAATTCAAGGCTAACATGAGATCTGTCTCAGCTCCTACTGCTCAGATAACATGCAGCAAACATATCATAGGAAAAAACAAGTTTGGGGAACACAACTCATTAGATTGATGGCACTGTAATCAGAAATGCATTTTTTCAGTAGAATGCTAGCAGTATATGAACATGAAATATGCTCTGTAAGTATCTTCGCTCTCTCCTTTGATGCATGTACCTCGTCTAAACGATTGCTTCTTAGTCATCAGAATTTCTATAGAGAAAATATTCTGCATGCATGATTAAATCAGCAAGTCTATCTCACACAAAAAAGCAAAACCAGCAGACTGATATCTTGAGATACCTTGTTATGGAAGTATTTCCTTTTAAGGAATCATCTGTCTTGATCAAAACTACTTTTTTATCTAATTCCCAATCAGAAAAATAGGTCTCCACTTCCTACATTACTTATCTCCATTCACTGTTCAGTTACATGAAACAGATATAACTATTTAAAATCTGTCTGATGTATTGTTTAGTAAAAGCTGTAATTTGAAAGGAATTGCTGCTATACATGGTTGTCCAGAAAACATATTCCAAATACCAGTCTAGCAGACCAGCCTAGTATTAAAAAAAAAAAATAATCACATAATATATTTTATATAATATATAAAAATAGATTATGAAAGTTTTCTCAAAATTTCTGAAAACTAACACACAACACGTAATCCAATTTCACACTCGGCAAAAAAAGAGTTTGGTTGAGCAATGCTCTCTGCCACATTTAACCAGCAAATAATGAGTTATACCGATAACGAGACCCAATATGGAGAAAGTAACTATGCCTCCTTTGTGAAACTACTTTTTGTAATTAAAATTACATTAATAAAATTACAGTTCATGAAACAGATTTGAGAGTTAGATTTCAATTCCACAGAAACCCCCAAAATTCCAAGAAGATTTTTAACTTCAGAAAAAAACAGTATTTTTAAATTTGAAATAAAATTTCAGATATGAATCATCTTTTTTTGCAAGTGACTAAAACTATTGTTTAGAAAGAAATAAAGTATAAGCCTGCTTCTCAACACAGCAATGAAAGGACAGGCTGTTTGCCAGTACATGCATGACAACAGAAGAAGCAATATAAAAATACAGCTGCATGACATGTGGACAAAAACAAAACAAAACAAATCCTTCAGGACTGAGATAAACTGCAGACTTCATAAATATCTGAAGAAGCAGCAATACACATTTCAGTGGAAAAGTGGTTTGGGCTCCCCCCCCCGCCCAGTCTGTTTTTCTGGTTGTCTTCTGGTGAATATTTTTTAAGTACTATGCCATGTTTCCTTCCAAGTAAATCCTGTTGAAAATTCCTGAAAGCATTCTGCAAAGAGAGAGTACGCTGACAGCAATGATGAATAAGCTTGGTAACACACAACACAGCCACATTTCCAAATATAGTGTATCAGCTGGCTTGGCAAGAAGAATCATGCCCAAACTGGCAGAAAGGGGCGTAAATGATCTACCTCCCCCCTCTAATACTGCTATCAAAGAGCAGTTGTGTTGTGTCAGACTTTGAACTTGTTTCCGCATCACACACAAATAATTTTTTAATGAGTTGTAAAATATTCCACCCCCTTTCCACCAGCTTTAAAAAGTGAGCGTGTTCACCTAACAGCTTTAGAAGGTAACCATGAGAAGTCTGTACAAAAATCCCAAAAGAAGTACTAAAGAATTGCTACTGAGTGTGTGTGTTTCCTAAAAAAAAAAAAAAACCATGACTGCTTAAACATTTTAAGAAAGCTGTTACTTATGGTATTAGAGAACTTGACCACATCACAGGACCACATTTCCATATCGAAGCAATGCCAAGCTTGGATGATAAAATTTGGATTTTCCCAAACAATACTTCAGAAAAAAATTAATCTGTTCAATCATTAACAACCCCCCCAAGTTTTCACATTCACATGACCACCAAGAAGTTCATTGCAGCACCACATAGAGCTGCAGTTAAGTTTGACAGAAAAAAAAAAAAAACAAACATCATAAGGAACTATAAAGATACCTAGTTCTCACTCACTGGGTAAAAATACAAGCTTGTAACCTTCGTCACAACACTGTGAATGTAATCATTGTGCTCAGAAAACACCATATTAATTTTTAAGTATTTAACTGTGTTAGTTTTAAAGAATTTATCCTACATGATGCAGAATACATGAATTCTGATTTCTTCTGGATGTCCATCTCCCTTTCTTATGCATGCCTTTTCCAATGGTCCCAGAATCCCTGCAATGCTCCCAGTTACCCTCCTCATCTCTTCTGGGACTACACATTGCTTTCAGTTCCCTCCCTACGTGACCTTACTAGCAGCATCTTCTTTTGCAGGTTTTGATATAACTGCGCATATTGGGCAAAAATATCAGCACACGTGTTGACTGACTAACAGGCCAAGCAGATAAATTGTTCTCAACACAGCTTTTCCTCTAGCAAGCAGACCAACTTATGTTTGAGTTCTCCCACTCTGTCAAATTTGATTAAAAACGTCCAACAAGTTGACGGGTGAAGCGGGAAGACCTGACCAGCGGACAGACCTGACATGATCCTATAAGCCTTATTTGCTTCAGCTCTAACTTTTTACTTTACAGAGTAGCAAACCAGCTTCTCAAAAACGCACTGAGCTTTTACAATAACAACCAAGTTAGGAATTCCCACAGCAAGAGTTATCAGTTCAAGTTTAACTTTGCTTCAAGGACTCGGTATATTTCCAATGCAGTATCTTAACATTGTATCTTCTTTAATTCAGATCCTTGTAGATGCTAATTACATTATGTTCTCATTACATAATAG